ACATCACCGGTGGCGGTCCTTGTTAACCCGGGCCTCGACCGATCCGGTATGGTTTTGCTTTGATGAACTTGCATTCTTGTTTTGGCAAAAGTGTTTTACATCGGATGCCATTCCTGACACAACCCTCACCATTTACCTAGGTTTGGGACCAGCACAAGAGATACACTGGCTTGTGCTCCCTAGTGGCTGGTTTGGTTGAAGGCAGCAGACCAAGAAGTGATTAAAGATGAAATTGTACCAGTGAGAGAGTCTGCGTGAAGTTAATGATGTCCAGTTAACCAGTGAATACAGGGTGCAATGATGGGTACGATAATCATAGCCAGTTAGGAATCTTAGTGCGCCATGATAGACAGCATTCAACATCTGCAGGGCCCTTGTAGGAGCGTTCATGTAAATAATGTCACCGTAATCAATGGAGGGAAGGAAAGTCACAGATACAAGGCATTTCCTAGCATTCAGAGTTAGACAGGATATGTTTCTGAAAAAGAAACCCAGTTTAACTTTCAGTTTCTTTACCAAGTTTTCCACATGGAGCTTAAAAGAGAGATGAGAGTCGACCAAGATACCCAAATATTTATAGGAATCAACAAACTCAATGGGGACATCATTTGAGGATAAAATCGGAGGAAGAACTGCTGGGACCGACTTCCTTTTTGAAAAAAGCATCCCTTGGGTTTTGTTGGCATTTAGAACAAGTTTGAGGCGGAACAAATCAGACTGGATGATGTTAAATGCGGATTGCAAAAGCTGGAAAGCCTTATCAACTGTTTTGTCTCGACAATAAATAACTGTGTCATCAGCATAGAAATGTAAGGATGCATCAGGGATCTTTTTACCTACATTATGATATGGTATGGTATAAATGGTATAAAGTTTATTCATTTTAAAAAAGTACAAAACAATTCCATAACAATATAAAAAAAATATACAAAATATTTAAAATGAAAGGCGGCAGAAAGAAGAAAAAATCTTATTACATCTGCCCCTTTTTTCTTACATTACATTTGTAATTACATTACATTTCTTACATTATCTGTGTAGATTGTATAGAGGGTGTGTCCTAAGACTGAGCCTTGAGGTACACCATTTTTGACTGTTAAATAACTGGAGGAAGTACCATTATGTTTAATACATTGCCTCAGATCTGAGAGATAGTTAGAGAACCATCCAATGGTGTGAATTGAGACACCAATTTCTGAGATCTTATGACACAAGATGTTATGATCCACAGTATCAAAAGCTTTAGATAGGTCTAAGAAAAGTGCAGCACAATAATCCTTAGCATCCAATGCTTCAACAACGTCATTAAGAACCTTCATTGAAGCAGTCATTGTGCTGTGTTGTTTCCTGAAACCAGACTGATGGAGAGGTAAGATTTTTTATATGAGTCCAGGTAATTTTTGAGTTGAGAGTTTATCAGTTTTTCTAGAACCTTGGCTAAAATGCAGAGTTTAGAGACTGGCCGATAGTTGTTCAGTGAGGTGGGGTCACTTCCCTTCCACAAAGGAAGAACAAAGACTGTTTTCCAAGAGTCTGAAATGGAGTTTTGGCTTTTGGAAAGATAAAAGATGTGGGTCACAGGGACTGTGATGATATGAGCAGCCAGCCTTAAGAAATAAGGTGGAAGTTCATCTGGACCTGCAGATTTTTTATGATCAAGACCTTTTACTCGTTTATTAACCTCACTGTCTGAGAATGGAGAAAAAGAGAAGCTGTGATTAACTGAGGATTGACTTGTAGGAGGGATTTGATTTGTAGAAGTTTGGTTATTAAGTGAAGTGGCTGATTTTCCATTAGTAACTGTGTCAAATAAAGAACTAGAAGCAACAAAATGTTTGTTGAAACAGTTCAGAATCTTGTGCTTATTTGACAAAGGAACACAGTTAACCAGGAGTTGTGATGGGAGATCAGATGATTGGGGGCTGCCCGAGAGAGATTTGATGGTTTTCCAGAATCTGTTAGGGTCATTTAGATTTTTGGAGGTCTGGGATAAGAAATAGTTGCGTTTTGCTGCTTTGGTGGCAGTTATGCATTTATTCCTCATCTGTCGAAAACTCAACCAATCAGTGTCTGAATCAGATTTTCTTGCTGTGGCCCAAAGATGATCTCTCCTGTGCAGGAGGTCAGCTAGCTCTGGAGTAAACCAGGGGCTGTCTCGTCCCTTTATTCTAAACTGATGAAAAGGAGCATGTTTGTTCACAAAATAAATGAAACTATTATGAAAATAGTTCCAAGCGGAGTTCACTTCGTCAGTTAACAGAATACGATGTCAGTCAAAGTGGGATAGATCCCAGAGGAATGACTGTTCACAAAAACGTTTCAGATCCCTTTTTTGAATTAATCTGGTCTTAGAAGGTGGAAGTTTAATATCTCTGAGAGCCGCAATTACACAATGATCACTCAAAATGTCGGCGAATACACCTGTACCAGGGAATTTGTGAGGCATATTAGTTAAAAACAGGTCTAAGATGGAAGATTTTTCAGGACGGTTTTTGTTTGGTCTAGTGGCAGAGTCGATCAGTTGGGTTAGATTGAGTGACAGGTAACATTCCTTGAATTTATCACAGAGGGGTCTCGACTTATCCCAGTCAATGTTGAAATCTCTTGTCAAAAAAATCTCTTTGAATTTTAAATTTTCAAGGAATTCCATCAGGGAGGACAGAGCTTCAGGTGTTGCTGAGAGAGGGTGATAACAACCCACTACAGATAAGATCTGGCCTCCATTCAAAGTGATGTTTACTGCTAAGGCCTCAAACTGGTTTGGAATTGTTTTAGTAGACACAAGACTAGAAACCAGGTAATCTCTGATGTAAATAGCGACTCCACCCCCCACCCCCCTTTTTTGACGATCACAGCAATAGATGTTAAATCCATTGATTACCAGGTCGTTATTCAGTACAGATTTGTTGAGCCAGGTTTTAGAGATGAAGATTACATCTGCCCCAGAAGAACTGACCAGAATTTTCAAGGCATCAAGTTTTCTCAGAAGGCTACGTGCATTTAATTGTAGAAAATGAAGTCCTGAAATGTTTTTAAAGTCATTTGGTGTGCTGTAATTAGTGGGGGGTCCAGGGTTGGGCTGAATCCCTGAGGGCAGTAACAACATTATTATCAGACATTTTCTTGAATTTTTCGTGACTGATGTGTAATTACAGGAGTTAACAGTGTGACATTTAGCACCCATAATCAAACCATGAGAAATATTAATGAAGACGCGATCATTCAGAACCCCAAAACAGTGAAAGTTACAGTGATAGGCAGATCCAGGTGTATTAACAAGATTCAGTGACTCCAGATAATCTGAGATCTGAAAATAATGACAATAATATGAATGGTGCAGAAAAGTCTCAGACCATAAAGCATCACAAATCAAATGGACAAACAAGTCAGACGAGGTGGCCCAACTGTAGTTTGAGTTGGGTTGAGGGGGGCTCTGCCCCCCCCTGTGAAGATGGATGGATGCTCCCATGAGAAAAAGAAGCAGGGTCCAGAATCAACAGGCAGAAACAGATAATTTGCAGCAAATAGCAGAACAAGCTGCCAGAAAATCTTCCTGAAATGAAAGGCATGGTCCTAGCTCGTTTCAGGTCAAAAGGGGGCAACAGCGTGATCCAGAATAAAAATAATTATTATCCAGGTGAGTTTGGATGGAGGCCTGCAGCAACTCCGATGCAAACTCCGAACTTCTCTCAAGCACCACGCAGCGCTGTTACTGCACTTCTCTGCACGTCACCTCGGCACCCGCAGCACGAGAGGCACCTCCGGTGAAAAACGATGAGACTGACCAGAGAGGCTGAGGCTGAAGTCGTCACTGGTCCTGTTCTGTTCCAGTCCAGCTCCAGCATGCCACAGTACAAGAGGCAAAGAGGCTGAAATGGCTGAAGTCGTCTCTGGCCCGATTCTGTTTCGGTCCGGTTCCGGCGACGATTCAACGCATCAGAGCATCTCCTCTAGGCGAACACAGAGATTCCATGGAGGTGGACAGTCCTTCATTAAAAGGTAATGGGCTGCTCACTGTGGCTGAGACAGGCACTGTTGAAGACGAAGTCCCCCACAGCCAATTCGGTTTGGTTCTGGTCCAGTTCAGGGGACACAGGTGCACTTCCCCCACACCAACGAAGACACCACGAGAGGCCAGTTCAGCAGAAAACCAGCAAAATACCACCCAGCAATTCTTGTTGGAACCAGGTAGAACCACAAAGGTACAGATGAGAAGTTTGCTGGGGTCCCGAGAGAGAGAGAAAAAAAAACACAGGACCTTCGTGCAATGACTCCCCAGCTCGAGGGGTCACCTGGCTGGCAGGGTGTGCTCAGAGTGACTGGTGGGGTGGGAGCGGTCTGTCCTGGACCAAAATAATGTTTTGGATTACCCGGTCTGGCTCTCTGAGTCACTGAACACAGAATTTAGTTGGAAGGGGGACCAACTTTGGTCCGATTCGAAAAAACGGGTCAGTTTGATGATAAAAGTCTGCAGAGAAGCCAGGGGAGCTCCCGTCCATCAGCTTGCCGGAATCGGAAATTGTGAGGAAGGAAGAGTGAAGTGTTTTTTTTTTCTTCAGGATGACATCCAACCTTCAGGGCTGGTGTGTTTGATCCAAAATAAATATATTTTTTGGATCTCCATTTCTTTCTGAGAAAGAAAGAACCTGCTTAGGAACCTGAGAACCTGCTTCAAAACCACCTCCATCGTCCCAATACCCAAAAACTCAAAACCATCAAGACTCAACGACTACTGTCCGGTAGCCCTCACCTCCATCATCGCAAAGTGTTTTGAGCAGCTGGTCCTAGTACACCTCAAATCCTGTCTCCCCCCCACCCTGGACCCCCACCAATTTGCATACCGCCAGAACAGGAGCACAGAGGATGCAGTCTCCATAGCACTGCACTCTGTTCTCTCACACTTGGATAACAAAAACACCTTTGCCCAGATGCTGTTCATAGATTTTAGTTCAGCATTCAACACAGTCATCCCTCATCCCTCAGCTCATTGTGGATTTCAGGAGGAACGCTGGCCCACATCCACCCATCTACATCAAGGGGACGGTGGTGGAGCGTGTGAACAGCTTCAAGTTCCTGTGTGTCCACATCTCCGAGGAGCTCACCTGGACGACCGGCTGTTCCAAACTGATCAAGAAAGCTCACCAGTGCCTTTTCTTTCTGAGAACTCTGAGGAAGAACCACCTGTCCTCAGACATCCTGGTGAACTTTTATCGCTGCACCATTGAAAGCATCCTGACCAACTGCATCACAGTCTGGTACAGGAGCTGCTCTGCCTCAGACCGGAAGGCGCTGCAGAAGGTGGTGAAAGCTGCCCAACACATCACCGGAGCACCACTTCCTGCCATAAAGGACATCTACAGGAAGCGGTGTTTGAAAAGGGCTGGGAAAATCACAAGACTTCAGCCACCCAGCACACAGACTCTTCACCCTCCTGCTCTCTGGGAGGCGCTACAGGAGTCTCCGGACTAAAACCACCAGGTACCGGAACAGCTTCTTCCCCACAGCTGTCACACTCCTGAACTCTGCCTCCTGACATCTGAATAACAACAACGGTCTGTATTTTCATACACACAACAACAGCACATGGACTGTAACACCACCACCTGCACTTTCATCCGTTAGCCCACTACTGTACAAACTGTACACATAATCTACTATCTACTGTTCATAAGTACTCACATACTTATATATATATTTTTTTTCTTTATATAGCTGTTTATACCCCTTCATATTATAACCTGTTCATTGTCTGTACACTCACAACCTGTATATATTTATACCTATAGCATATTCAAAGCAACTAACTGTATGTTGTACTATATATATCTACCAATTTATTTTTCTTGCTAAGCACTTCTGGATAGATGCAAACTGCATTTCGTTGCTTTGTACCTGTGACATGTGCAATGACAATAAAGTTGAATTCTATTCTATTCTATTCTTTCCCACTGAGCATCATCAACTGTCGGACTGCGTCGACACCATCAGTGTCCAATGAGGAGGCTGTTGTTGGGATGTGGTAACACGCAGGGGGAGGGGGGCTGTCGGTTCACAGGATGTGGAGAAAAGCCTCGAATGGTTCTAGTTTTATCCTCAGTGGAGCGTAGAAATAAACACATTGTTGTCTTTGTCGTGTAGCCGATAGCCCAGCTCGCCCATGAGCTCTCAGTCAATGTCGTTGATCAGCACCAGAATCCCGGGCCTCACAGAAACTCCCTGAACAAAAACCTCGGGGCACTCGTTCAGGAGGTTCTGTTGGATCCAAACCAGCAGCTGCTTCATGTCCCAGGGCTCTGATTGGCTTGGGAGAGTCACATAATGTTCCTTCTGGCCGTTGAAAAGCAGCTCTGCTCCTCCACCAAACTCCAGATGAAGGGCTATGGAGGCTGAAATATTGTCGATGTTTTGATGTAAGTTTTATGCTTCCATGTTTTGAATAGGGGTACCACCACCCGGTCTGCCAATCCAGGGGAACTGCCCCCGATGTCCATGCAATATTGTAGAGTCATGTAAGCCAACACAACCCCACAAAATCCAGAGCCTTAACGAACTCTGGGCGAATCTCATTCACCCCTGGGGCCCTGCCACTGAGGAGCATTTTAACCACCTTGATGACCTCTGCATCAGAGATTGGAGAGCCCGACCCAAAGTCCCCAGGCTCTGTTTCCTCAGTGGAAGACGTGCCGATGGGATTGAAGAGGTCTTTGAAGTATTCTGCACACCGACCCACGACATCCCAAGTTGAGGTCAGCAGCGCACCACCCCCACTATAAACAGTGTTGGTGGTGTACTGCTGCACCCCCCTCCCCCCCCCTCTCCGAGATGCCGGCTGGTGGACCAGAATCACCTCGAAGCCATACGGAAGTCATTCTCCATGGCCTCTCCGAACTCCCACACCCAAGTTTTTTTTTACCTCAGCGACCACCCTAGCCGCATTCCACTTGGACTGTCGGTACCCATCAGCTGCTTCCGGGTCCCACAGGCCAAAAATGCCCGATAGGACTCCTCCTTCAGCCTGACGGCATCTCTCACCGTTGGTGTCCACCACTAGGTTCAAGGATTACCGCCGCGACTGGCACCGACAACCTTACGGCCGCAGCTCCATTAAGCTGCCTCAACAATAGAGGTGCAGAACATGGCCCACTCGGACTCAATGTCCTCTACCTCCTCCGGAACATGTTTGAAGTTCTCCTGGAGGTGGAAGTTAAATCTCCGTCTCACGGGAGACTCTGCCAGATGTTCCCAGCAGACCCTCACAATACCTTTGGGCCAGCCAGCTCGGAACGGCATCCTCCCCTACCATCGGAGCCAACTCATTAGTGGTCAGTGGAGAGTTCCGCCCCTTTCTTCACCTGAGTGTCCAAGACATGTGGCCGCAGATCAGATGAGACGACAATAAAGTCGATCATGAACTGCAGCCTTGTGTGTTCTGGTGCCAAGAGCACATATGCACACCCTTATGTTTGAACATGGTGTTGGGTGTCCTCCCAACCACACCTCTCCAGGTCTCACTGTCATTGTCCACGTGAGTGTTGAAGTCCCCCAGCTGAACAAGGGATGTCTCAAATGTCACTAACATCTCATATGTTTCTAAGGTCTCAAATGTGTCAAATGACCCTAATGTTTCTAATGTCTCTAATGTCTCCAGTTAATCACACCTCATGCCATCAGGGTTCAGACTCCGCCCCGTCACATCCCAGGTGTTGTTGAGGTCACATTGTCCTACAAGTCCAAGCAGTTCTGTAAAGGGGCTCCAGGAAGATTTGTCTACACAGGTAAGCCCGTCACACACATCTTCATCCAGCATTTCATTCTGTGGTTCTTATCCAGCTTTCTGACTCCAGTTTTCTCTGGACAGTTTTCCAGAAAACATTCAGAAATATTAGTGGCGCTTTAGACTCATTCTGAGCAAAATCAAACATTAAATTGTGATGGTTGTTTAAGAAACCTAAGGTGAGCATGTGGTGAACCCTAACATGGACGCTATAAGCGCTATATAAATAAAATTTTACTTAATTACCAACCCTAACAAAACAAGATGGAACCAGGACTCAGATGTAAGTCACATTACTCAAATTCTTATCAAACTCCAGTTCTCTGACAGGAACAGAATGAATCAGATCAAAGTCAAGATCCGTGAACACATTTATGTTTATTAAGGAAATAACAGCATCAAATGGGTGGACACACACCTCCTGTCTGTTCATGAATGTTCCATGAGTATTGATCAAAGACAAGAACTTGCTCTGACACTTTCTGTCTGACCCGTCTTCAGATTTACATTTTAACTTGGACAGAACCTCAGATGTTCTGCATGTGGACCATTTACTCACAACTGTGTCTGATCTGTATTGACACCCTAAAAAACCTGATGACTTTATTAAAGCTTAGTAGACAAGATGTTCTGTAACAGACAGAAGGAACATGTGAAAAGGTAATTTCAGACAGACTTATTTACTGCAGGTTGAGTTTGAAGGTTCAGGTTCAGATTATCAGCAGGTAGAACAATGTTGTCCTGCCTGGAAAACAGAACATAGTTTTGTTGTAAACATGGAAGCATGAACATATGGAAGCATGAACACGTGGAAGCATGAACACATGGAAGCATGAACAAATGGAAGTATGAACACATGGAAGCATGAACATGTGGAAGCATGAACAATGTTGTCATTTGTTCTCACTTTTAATACTGTATAACATTTTACTTAATGCAGTTCAGTTCAGTTTATTTCTGTAGCTCCAAGTCCCAACAGAAGTTGTCTCAGGGCACTTCACAGAAACATTCACACATTATAAAACATACATCCATTATCTTTTCCCGCTTCTTCCTTTTTGGGTCACGGGGGTCACTGATGCCCATGTCCAGTTATCACTGCGAGAGGCGGAGGACACCCTAGACAGGTTGCAAGTTCATCATAGGGCCCATTATTGCCAAATTTGCCAATGAACTTGCCATTATTGCCAAAATTGCCAAGATGGTCATGCTCAGAGCAGTTGCAGCTTCACAGGCTCCCGGTACTATCTCAGTTTTTAAAAGTTTTGATATTGACTTTGTGCCTGACTCCACATGATTTATGCATGTGAGCTACAGCCGAACCGAAATGATGAGAATAGGAGTGGATTTGCCACAAATTACATCAGAAATTGGCAACAAACTCAAAACTATGCTCGGCAGAATGCAGATCTTAAAGTCATCTACCTGGAAGCTGCAGCAGAGGCGTTCCAACGGGCAGAAGAGGAAGCGCTGCTCCCGGCTTAAGAAAAGAGGATGCCGGGTGAGGGTTATAGTGAAGCTACAAGCTAACGCTAAAGCCGGAAAACTCCCGATGCCGTCTCTCTTTCTGTCGAACATCCACTCGTTGAAGAACAAGATGGATTTGCTTCGTCTGAGAGCGGGCGCGTCAGAAGAGATGATGAAATGTGCAGTGCTTTGCCTCACAGAAACATGGATTACAAGTGAAATGCTGGACACAGTCTTTCAGCTGGATGACAGACTTTTTTTTGAGCGGACCGCTGCAGCGAGCTAACGGGGAAATCACGGGGAGGCGGAGTGTGCATTTATGTGAGTAAAAGTTGGTGCACAAACTGTACTGTTGTAAAAAGCTCATGCGCGAAGGCTTTGGAGCAAATAACAGTGAACTGTTGGCCACATTATCTACCCCGCGAGTTCACAGTGGCATTCATTACCGCTGTTTACATGTCTCCGGATGCTAATGCTAACCACGCTCTGTAGGAGCTCCATCATCTCCTCAGCTCGCTACAGAACAAACACCCTGAGGCTCTTTACGTGGTAGCTGGAAACTTTAATCACGTGAATCTAAAGGACTGCCTCCCAAGTTTTTACCAGCATGTGGGCATACCATCACGTGGAAACAACACTTTGGACCATGTTTACACAAACGTAAAAGATGCATAAAAAGCCGAACCCCACCCCCACCTAGGATTCTCTGATCACATCTCAATCTTAATGGCTCCTTCTTACCTGCCCCCTCAGAGACGCTCCAGACTGGTACAAAAGAAAGTTAAATGTTGGATCTAGGACAGTGGCCCATATTGGGAGATTATTTTGATCGAACAGACTGGCAGGTTTTCAGAGAAGCTATTGAAAATGGAAGATCGCTTGATCTGGACCAATACGCAACCTCAGTTCTGGGTTTCATTAGTACATGTACTGACACCGTCCCCACCATAAAATATGTTAAAAGTTACCCAAACAGAAAACCTTGGCTGAATGCAGAGGTGCGCACCCTGCTGGAAGCCAGTAACACTGCCTTCAGGTCTGGAAACTCACAGGAGCTGAGAAGGACAAGGAAAGAGCTGGTTGCTGGTATTAAGAGGGCCGAGGCTACATATTGCACAGAGAATTTACTTGTTTACTTGTGGTTCCTAGAATTTACAAAAACAGAATGGGAGGCAGATCTTTTAGCTATCAGGCTCCTCTCTTGTGGAACCAACTTCCAATCTCTGTCCGTGAGGCTGACACATTGTCCAGTTTTAAAACTAGGCTTAAGACTTTCCTTTTTGCTAAATCCTATAGTTAGGGTCGGCTTGGGTTTCCTGATCTGTCCCTTAGTTATGCTGCTATAGGCTTAGACTGCTGGAGGCCAAACTGACCACAATTTTCACTCTACTACTGTCTTTACTTAATCTGCTCAACCTGTTTTGTATTTGTAATTATTTTCTATCCTTAACATGTTTTTTGTTTTGTCTTTCAGATACACCTGGACCTATACCTGGACCTACCATTCTGTGTTCGTTTGTCTCTCCTTCCGGTCCTCTCAACCAGCCGGTCAAAGCAGATGGCCGCTTGTCCTGAGCCTGGTTCTGCTGGAGGTTTCTTCCTTTAAAAAGGGAGTTTTTCCTTTCCACTGTTGCCACTGTGCTTGCTCAGGATGGGAGACTGCAACGAAGCCAAGATTCAACTTGTCTGCTGGCTTCCTTAGATAGAGAACTTTACTAATTGGCTTTTATATATGTGAATATTCCTATAAAGTGCCCTGAGAAAACTTTGTTGTGATTTGGCGCTATAAAAATAAACTGAATTGAATTGAATTGAGGATTGAGGGTCAATTCACCTCACAAGACCCTTGGAACATGTGGAGGGGCATTAAGTGCATAACATATTATAAAAGCAGGAGCGAACAATGCCCTAAAGACCTATCTCTGCTTGATGCCCTCAACAAGTTCTATGCACACTTTGAAGACCCGAACAGACCACCCAACACCAGACTCGCCTCATCACCAGAGGAAGAGCATCTCCTCGTGACCTCAGCCAAAGTAAGGAGTACTTTCAGGTGGATTAATACGCACAAGGAAACCGGCCCAGACAACTTCCCCGGAAAAGTGTTGAAAGAATGCGCCAATCAGCTCTGCGAGGTACTGGCAGACATCTTTAACACCTCACTTACCCTGGAGACAGTACCCACCTGCCTGAAGACTGCCACCATCATCCCAGTCCCATAAAGCTCTAAAGTGACTGGTCTGAATGACTATCGGCCAGTAGCCCTCACCTCGGTAGTCACTAAATGCTTCGAAAAATTGGTCATGACCCACAAAACAACCATCAACATCAACGAGGACCCTCATAAGTATGCATACCATGAGAACCGATCGACAGAGGATGACATCTCTTCTGTGGTCCACACTGCTCTCAACCACCTGGAGCAAAACGACTCTTATGTCCGTATGCTCTTTGTGGACTTCACATCTGCCTTCAACACCATGATCCCCAAACCCTGATGGACAAACTATTCACACTAGGACTAAGCCCCTCCATTTGCAACTGGGTACAAGACTTCTTAACAAACAGACCACAGTTAGTGAGGATCCACAACTTCTCCTCCTCCACCATGACCCTCAGCACTGGCTCTCCTCAGGGATGTGTGTTGAGCCCTCTCCTGTTTACTCTGCTCACAAATGATTGTGCAGCTACTCATCCAGACTGTCATATTGTAAAGTTTGCAGATGATACAGCGGTGGTGGGATGCATCACAAACAATGATGAGTCCAGCTACAAGCAGGAAGTGGAACACTTGGAGAGCTGGTGCAAAGAGAATAACTTTCACATCAATGTGAAGAAGATGAATGAGATGATTGTGGTCTTCAGAAGGAACAAACACACCTACACCCCGTTAAATATAAGAGGATCTGTGGTGGAAGTGGTCTCCAGCTACAAGTACTTGGGTGTGCACCTGAACAACAACCTCAGCTGGAGCAACAACACCACCAGCCTGATCAAGAAAGCTCATCAGAGACTCTACTTCCTCAGGCGGCTGAGACGAGCTGGTCTGGAAGCTCAGTCCTCACCTCCTTCTACAGGTGTGCAGTGGAGAGCATCCTGTGCTCCAGCATCAACGTGTGGCATGGAGGCTGCACAGCTGCAGAAAGAAAAGCTTTGCAGAGAATGGTGAAGGCTGCACAGAAGATGTTGGAGTCAGTCTCCCCACCATCACAGACTTCTACACCTCCAGATGCAGGAAGAGGGCCATCTGCATCATGAAGGACCTCACTCACCCAGCACACACTTTTTGCCCTGCTCCCCTCAGGAAGGAGGTTGAGGAGCATTAAGTGTAGAACCACTAGACTGAGGAACAGCTTCTACCCTGAGGCTGTTAGACTCATGAATCTCTAACCAGAATAATCACTGTGAAAAATCACATCATCTTGCTGCTGATCTGTTTCATGTTGCTGCTGATCTGTTTCATGTTGATGTGTTCATGCGTGCTCATCTGCTCACAGACTCATGTTCATGTTTGTGCTGATGTTCAATGTTTTA